AAATTAGTTGCTTTTTACCAAAACATTTCTTTTTACTTTATTAATCACTTAATTAACAATCTCTTGGTTTTATCTTCTTTCTGATCATTTTCTTACTACATTATTATCTCTACTTTTTGCTATTAAATTTTATATTATATTATTCACGTTGTTGTTAGCATGGCATCCTTTAAATCCACACCTCAATGTGTGCATTATACCCTCAATAAATTAATTTCAAAATGCTTTTTTTTCTTAAAATTTAATTAACTAAATGCCATAATTTCTCCATAAATGCTACTTTAATAATATCTTTTGAATTTGGTATATGTGTTTTAATGGTCATTATTTTCTAAATATGTTCTAATTTTCATTTTGAATTTGTTTCTTGCCCTACAAAATACTTGAACATATTTCATAAAATATCAAATCTAAAGAAGTAATGAACTTTTAATTTTTATTAGTAATATTAATGCATAGTAGTCAGTGAACACAATCTTTACGTTGTAGGGTTTTTTGCATTACTTGTGGAGACTGAATCTAAAACTTACTCCATCAGTAAATTTTGAAGTATAATTCTTGCATGCTTGAGAGGTTGATGTGCTCCATTGTGGAATCCAAGGCTCTGTGTGATATGTAGGTCTAGTCTATGAATTTTATTGCTCAAATTGTCTCCTTTTTAAAACAGTCCTTATACGTTAATTTCTGGGAGTGGTAGGACAGAATTCTATATGATGTTTCTAGAATATTTGGTATGTTCTTGAATTCTGGCATTTTTGTATTATACATTTTGTGATTTTATTGATATGTTTACATATTTGAAGTTATTATACCTTATGATTATATTATTAAGTAGTGGTTTATTTATCTTGAATTATCATATTTAAGGTGTATTTTACTTTGTATTATCCTGGTTACGTCAGTTTGCTTTAGAAGGCTGTTGCCTGAAATTTCATATCCATACCTTTATTTTCAACTTTTCTTTGTCCCTCCATTTTGAAGTTGACACTTCTAAACAGCACATAGCTGTACTGGGGTAAGGACTGGAAATTTTTCAGCTCTTAATCACAATTCTCCTCTTTTGAATAATAGTGTTGGTTCTTTGCATTTGTTACTGTTATTTGTTCCGTTTTGTTTTGTTTTTGCAGGCTCAACCCAGCCCTGGGGTCAGGGCTGGTATGATACACCGTTCTGGGGAATCAAACTGTGGTCCCTGCACATACCTAGACTTGTAAAATAGAAGCTTTAGACCTCTGAGCTATCTCACCAGCCGATTATTGTTAATTATATATTTGAATTGACTTGTAGTATTTTCCTTTACATACATTATGCTTTTTGTTCAGCTTTTTTCCAGTATTCTTCATTTTATAGCATTAGACATACTGTCTGCAACTTCTTTCTACTCTTCTCAATTGAAAATTACATTATATTTCTTTTTTAGAAGTCACTTTTGTATTCTACCATGTCTCTTTGAATCACAGTGTAAAGTAATATACTGTGTTCTCAAAGAATTCAAGGGTCATAGATTATTTGAAGTCTAATCTAAGCCTGCTAATGTTTGCATGTTGCTGTCTGGCAAATAAATTTTTTGGGTTTTTTTTTTGTTGTTGTTGTTGTTTGTTTTTCTTGTTGTTGTTTGTGGAACTGGGATTGAACTCAGGCCCTTGTGCTTGCCAGGAAAGCACTTATTTTACTGAGCCATCTCCCCGGTCCCCTCAATTATTATATTTTATTTGTATTTAGTAAATGACTGCTTAAAGCTACCAGCACATTTACTATTTTGCACTCCATGGTTTTCTGTCTCGTCCCTCACTCCTGACCCTACGTCCTTAGCTGTGAAGGACATAGGGACATTCATTCTATATGGTGAATGGTTTGTGAATGAGAATGTAGCCTACAGTGAACATACGAAGCTGCTGGGTCTTCAGAAGCTGCCCTATTTCACCATCAATCATGAAGGCACTGTAGATATTTAAGAGCAGAATACATTACCTCACTCTCTTCTCCATTCTGAACTTGGGAGAAGAGGCACATATATTTTAAAACACACTTTTGGTGATTGTGCTACCATATCTTCAAAAAATGTGTTTTGTGGTGCATTCAAATACATGATGAAGTTTGTGATGTGATCACCAGGCTCACTTCTCTCTACAGAGGTGTGATGAATGCTTCTTTTAGAGTGACTAGTGGTCTAAAAGAAGAAGGTGAAAAGACAAACAGTTGTTTATTCCTTTCCAGTTAGAAACTAAAAAAAAACCCTTCAGCATCCAATAATCCACTCCATGTTCCACAGTAGCTTTTTTTTTTTGGCGAAACTGGGGACTGAACTTAGGCCCTTGCGCTTGCCAGGGAAGCGCTTATTCCACTGAGCCATCTCCCCAACCTCCACATTAACCTTTTATAGATCTATACTGTGCTAATAGAAATCAGTGAATGTTTAACATTTGTCTTTGATGTACACAATTCTTATCACTCATAATGCATGATTGTTATTTATTTATTCATTTATGTATTTATTTATTATGAGGGAATCCCCTGCAGCCTTATTTATCCTGAGTTTCTAGAGTAGTTTTGAATTTTTAGGCATGCCAGGCTTATTTCTAAAATAAAGGGACAAGAGAATTGCAAAGAAATAAAGGCATAAAGTAAGGACACAGATGTGAAAGCTGTCAGGAATATAGAAGGAAATTTTCTAGCGGAGAATCCAGAAGTACTGCTCTAGGAGAGAATGTTGTTTTGATAGAGACAAAATAGTGAAAGGCAGTATTCATCATGACATTGCCTTCAAGTATACATACATGCTGTTGATTTTGATTATTAATTTTTTCATGTTATCTTATATCTTAGTCACTTTTTGGTCTCTGAGGAAAATATCAAATATTCACAACTTAAAGAAAGAGAGGAAGTTTTTGTTTTTTATTTCTGCTTTCTGTCCATGATCAGCCAGCTTTAAGAAATAAAGAGCAGAGGTATGTGGTAAAGGAAAAGGTGTTGGAAAACAGGTATTGGCAGCCCAGAAAACAGAGAGAAGGGAGAAGTCGACAAGAACACATCCTGTGGGCCACAGTCCCCATGACCCACTTCCAATCAAGCCCCCCGTCCTGATACCACATTCTGCTACTGAACCCATCAATGGATGATTAGCCCATTGATGGGTATAGCACCCCTGTGATCCAAACACCTTCCTAACATGTGAGCCTTTTGGTAGACATGTTAGTCCAAGTTATAGCATTATATCATGCCAACTCAGTGTAGCTAAAGAGTTGTCATAATCTATAACAGATGATTAGCTTTTAAACAAATATAAGATGAATTTAGTAAAACTAATAAAAAATCAGTATCTTGAATAATGAACCTAGAAGTTTTAGGACTTCTAGGATAGCCTTTCAAAATAATTTTCTTCTGTCTGATTTTTAAAAAAAAAAAAAAGTCTTTTAGGGAAAAAAGCTTATTGTCACCCTAGAGTGAAAACTGAAAATTTTTAGTGTCATTGAAGTACTACTGTTCCATTACTTTTAAATTTCTTTTTTACTTAACCTCAGAGAAGTTTCTTGCTCTTTCTTCCTCTGCGTAACTGCTCCTATGGTGTCGAAAGCATTATGCATACCATTTGAAAATCTAGTTTTTATTTCAAACCAAACTCTGGGACACATGGTAGTTATCTATCATGTTGTCATTATTTATCGGAGTCAATATTTGTTGCCAGAAATTGAACAAACACTTCAACCTATTCAATCTGTACCTCAAACTACACATCTGTAACAACTTGAAAATGATTTCTGAAGATTCATATCCTAAACACATAAAAATAAAAATATATGTCTATGATATGTGCTGGCTTTCTGAAAAATTAAAATGAGAGACTTATTTGGATTAGATACAAAAATAAACATTACAATGATTTTATAAGCCTTTTAATTCTTCTATTTTATATTAATTATAATATTCATATGTTGCATTTTGCAAAGAAAAAAAATTAATTTTGTATTTAAAAAATTCAGCAACATAACAGCTCTTTTTACACTACAATATTCATAACATTAATTTTGGAATGACTTCAGAATAAAAAGTCTGTCAGACAGCAGCACACAAACGTGCAGAGAGATAGTCCATTTCTCCAGATGCTCATGATTGGTTAAGACCATTAGACAAATAATTTTCCCTCAGTGTAAACTACACCAATGGGTGGTAGAAAAGTCATAACATCATAAAGAAAAAAATAGCTTGTTGCTGCATAGGTTCATTGAGACCAAATTGTAAAAGGCAGTTTTGTAGAAGATGTTTCCTTTCAATACAGGTATGCTTTCCCTGCCATTTTACACTTCTGCTCTAGCAATGATAAGCTCTCATAGAAATTAATGCACATTATGCAACTGTTTACAAAAGCAAAGAATGAAAGAAGAAAGTCACTATTTTTACTTTCATGAGCAAATATGGAATGCTGTTTTTGACAGATAAACTGCACCTGGCAGAATCAGGCTGTCATCAGCATATTAGAGAGGTATGTGGATAGATAGATACTTTGTGATATTATTTACTTACAGCCTCTATTTGTCCAAGAGATAGATACATTTCCACATAGCAAATAATAAAGTAATACTTCATTAATATTGCGATTATATAATTACTCGTATAAAAGCTAAGGGAAGAAGGAAGGCTAATTGAAAAGTATTGTGTGTGTGTGTGTGTGTGTGTGTGTGTGTGTGTGTGTGTGATGCTATTACTAAGAACTGCAGACAGGTCATTCACACTGAGCTGCAGCCTCCCTTTTATTGAATAGAGTTTTAATAAGCCACTAAGCTGTCCAGGAGGACCTCAAACTTGCAGTTCTCCTTCCTCAGCTTCCCAGACTTTTGAGAGTACAGGTGTGCTCCACCACATCTGGCTTAGAAATATCTTAAATAAAAAAGGACTCTGAATTAAAACACCACATGGATTCTATTTGATTAATGTTAATATCTAGTCATGAAGAAATCCTGATAAAATCTTAAAATTTTCTTGCATGATTTCCTTATTGCTACTCAAGAAAATATTTTTCTTCTGAGAGTCTTCTTCAGAGCAAGTTTGACATCCTTGTTCCTCAAGCTATAGATCAAGGGGTTCAGCATTGGCCCCACATTTGTGTAAAAGACAGAGGCCACTTTTCCCTGGTCCATGGACTCTATGTCAGAAGGTTGGAGGTACATGAATGATGCTGCCCCAAAGAAAAGAGAAACAGTCATTATGTGGGAGCTGCAGGTGTTGAAGGCTTTTATTCTCCCCTGTGTGGAGCTGATATGAAGGATGTTGGAGATGATAAAACCATAGGAGATAAAAGTGGTGCTTGTAGACACCAAGATGTTCATGCCGACTAGAACAAAGACTACCACCTCATTGTCGTAGGTGCTGGTGCAGGAAAGCTGGAGCACAGGGAGGATGTCACACAAATAATGGTTGATGATATTGGCATCACAGAAAGTCAGTCTTGCCATACAGAGAGTGTGGGCCAGGGAACCCCAACATCCCATCACATAGGCTGCAAATACAAACAGAGCACAGCTCTGAGGAGACAATATAACATTATATAGCAGTGGCTTGCAAATGGCAACATAGCGATCATAAGCCATTGCTGTCAGTGTGTAACATTCTGTGATGACAAAAAAGCAAAAGAAATACAGCTGAGTCAAACACCCAGTATAGGAGATAGTGTTTTTCTCCAATATAAAGTTCATTAACATTTTAGGAGTAAATACAGAAGAATAACATATATCTACAAAAGACAGATTCAAAAGGAAGTAATACATGGGGGTGTGGAGGTGTGCATTTAGTGAGATTATTGTAATCAAGCTCAGGTTGGCCACCACAGTAACCACATAGATCCCCAGGAATATGAAGAAGAGAGGCAGTTGGAGTTCTGGCCTGTCATTTAAGCCCTCCAGGATAAATTCTGTCACCAATGAGTAATTTTTGTCCATCATTCTTCTGTGGGAGTTCATCTAGGAAGAGGAAAGAAGAGCCAGTGAAAGGAAAACTGAGCTTGTATGAGTCTCTTCTCACCCATCAATGTCGGCACACAAGTGCCCTTTCAGATGGTGGATATGATGCAATGTCTGTTTTTTGCAAACTGCAGCATCAAAGGGTAATTCTGGAGAGCTTGAAAGTGAGAAGTATGAGCAATTGAAGTCTACATAGAGCTTCTGGGAGCTTTAGAATTTAAAGAAAGAATAAACATCAAACATAATAATTTGGAATAACTTTAATGGAGTTGATATTTTTACCTGCACATCTGTTTCATAATATTATAATACTGAATGTTAGCATTTGTACAACCTCAGGTGTCACATGCCCCTAAATCTAAAGTCCCTAGCTTTCACTCAGATGGGTGGGCCTACGAGGTGATGTAGGTCAGAACCTCAGGTAAGTGATGGTCAGCATTGTGTAAGGCTCATGGGAGCAGCAAGAAAAGATGTGAAGTTCAAAGATGGTGTAAGTCTGGTGGGTGTGGTGATTGACAGAATGAGGTCTATCGACAGGGAGAAGATTAAACTTGAGTATGACTAGTAGGATGAGGAGCAGATTGAAGCTGGAATGTTATCTAAGGCTCAAGGTGAGCATCAGGTTCAGAGATGGGGGAGGGAATAGAAGGACAGTGTAAGAATGGGTAAGGGTGCATAAATCCCAAAGATGGATAGTGTTAAAACCTGGAATGCAACAAGGGAAGAGAGATGAAATAAGAGTCTGGGCAGAGTGAAGGGTGCAAAAAAGGAAAAAGTACAGAGAAAGAAGTCAAGTTTAAAAAGAAGGATACAAAGGCTGGGGAGACAGCTTAGCAGACTAAGTTCCTACATAGGCAAGTTCAGAGACTGAGGTTCAATACCCAGTACATGCTGTGCCAGGCCCGCTGAGCTGGTGATGGAGTCTGGGTGTGATGGTGCATCCCTGTAATCCCAGCTGCTGGGGAAACTGAAAACAGTAGGATCACTGAGAGACTGAACTGCATAGTGAGACCCTATACAAAAAATAAAAAATAAAATGAGGGATACAGGAAAATGCTTGGCAAGGAAGTTAAAAGTTTGGGATTTTGTGGGACGGCCAGATAGCTCAGTAGATTAAATCAACTGTTTAGGCAGATACTAGGGTTGAAGGTGTGATCCCTGGCCAGCCCTGCTGGTCCTGCCCCCAGAGGCACTGAGATAGCGATTGAGACTGGGCATGGTGGCACGGGCCTGTAATCCCAGCACGTGGAAAGCTGAAAACAAGAGAATCACTACAGGTCCGATCGGTGTAGTGAGATCCTATAGTCCCTATAGACCCTGCACTAAAATTCAAAAAAAAAAAAAAAGTTTGGGTTTTCAGATGGCTGAGACTTCCAAGGTTGACTAAGACTTACAAAAACAATGAGAAAAAAAAAAAAAAAGACTATTGTTAGAGGGTCAGATACAAGGAGGCTTTCATGTAATTAGATATTTAGTGCCATCTCTCCTGCTAGATTATCACTTTGTTCATGAAGACAATCTCCTTCCCTCATTGTATTTCCATTTCATATAGTATAGTCCTAATACACATTAAGAACAAAAAACACATGTGTTATTAGCTGTAGATTAAAAGTGCATTCAAACACCCTCAAGATTTGCTCACAGGTGTTTCCTATGTTCATATTTAATGTCCTGTGCTCTTTCCTTTAGCCCTGGGCTCTGAAGAGGTAGTTGTTCCTACTTCAGAAATGGCTGGTCCATATTAGCATAGATGTTAGACCTTGCCCAAGGCCAAAGAGCTGAAATCCTAAGAAGTTTAGATCTCCTCACCTAGAAAATTCACAGGAGACCAACGTTCTGTCTCATTTCCCAGCTACTGGAACTTTCACTCCACTGTCCATCCCCCCACCTCACTGCAGATTCTATAATGGGAAGACTCAGTGCTGTCTTCAGTAAAAGGACTGGTGGTGCTCAGAGTCCTTCATGCCATTGGTTAGAGTGAAAGAAATCTTCCGAGACGTGTTACATTAGGATACTCACAGATTTTCCTTCTCGAGAATCTGATGCTGGTCCTTATTTTTCTCTGTGACAAATATTTTGAACAACAATTCTATGCTATGAGCAAAAATAGCCCCGTCAGAATTCTTGGGCACCTGAAGTGTTGATGGCATCAAGACATCTACACCACTGTGGAATGGTCTTGAGGCTACTCCAGGGAGAAATATGAAGGGTTCATCTCTCTGGCCTACTGCCAACAAGTCCACTCCAACTGAAATGGAAGAAAATGATCTCTTCAATATGGAAAGAACAACCTAGTCATAGATACAGAATATTAAATCTCATGTTTGGAAATCTGAAATAGCTGTTTAGTACCCAGAGGCAGAGCCTCACACAAAAACCTGGCATCGTGTTTACATCTGACTTGTGATCATCACAGCATCTCTCTAGAGACTCCATGTTCCACACATATCATTTCTCTACACTAGAGATTTCCTACTCTCCAATTCCATGAAGGAATAATCTCCCGTGTCCTGAATCCCCAGATGCTACAGGTTAAAGAGTATGCCTCTCCTTCAGTGCTCATCCACAACAGTGTCAACACTAGCATTTTACAATAAAATGAGATTAGTGAAACCAGGCATATAAGAATTACAATTCCCTATACATGGGCACATACAGATCAGAATCAACCTAGTCTTGGGCTTTTCCCTTCTAACACCACCTGCTAGTTTGGCCTCTGCTCACATCACTGGATTGGAAATGTCAATCTCCTCTTCTTTGATAAGTTATAACTGCAAAATCCTAAGTGTCGCATTTGAAAAACCAGTTTAATAAAGCTTATTCTCAATTAACTCCAATAATCATCCTAAAATTTCCTTATATTTTTCTGAACTCATTAGAAACATTATTTCTTCTTAGGAAAAAACCATATCATATACCAGTCACATATTTATATACGTAAATATTTTATGAATAAGTTAAAAATAAAGTATGAGTTCTCAGAAACTAAAACAAAATCCCTTAGAAATATTCCTATAGATATTTTCTTGAAAGATGTGAATGGAAGAAACTCATAGAATAGTTATTTCCTCCTACCCCGTGCTCATCGAGTGGAGATGTCTAGTATAAATACAACCTAAGCCACAAATATGAGCCACAGAGGTAACCTTTCTAGTAATCATATTAAACCAGTAAAAGCAAACAGCAAAGTTCATTTTAAAATTTTAATATGTTGTATCTAACCAGTTCATCTGGAATATTTTTATTTCAAATTGTATTATAAAAATATTGATTTATTTATGTTTTCTCACACTTTCTGAAAAAATCTGACATTTATTTATGATTACTAATCATCTCTGTTTGAACCATTAGCAATTTAAGGGTCCACAGAACACAGGATTAATACACTGCATACTATAGTTCTAGAATTATCCTGAGTAAATAAATTCATATATTCTATACATTAAATAAATAATTATATCATGTGTTATAGCTATTTGAAAATATTATATAAAACTCTTTTGTCCTCTTTCTCATCCTGGTTTTTACTTCCCATTGAACAAATTCTTTCCCTTTCACAGTATCTATTTTACCTTTCAGATTTTTTGTATTCTTTCAGGATCTCACACTAGTGAGACAATATGATGTTTGCACAGGTGGGTCTGATTTATTTCTCTTACCAAAACAGTCTCTACTTTCATCCATTTATCTACATGGAACTCTTTATTTGGATCATGCATTCATGTTATCATGATTATTGATGTATAATTAGCATAAAAAAGAATATCTAATTAATGAATAAATGTTGCTATGTTTAGACCTACACATAGTGCTCATTTTTAACGCCAAAACAATCAGAGTAGTAAGCATATTTATCACTTCCAAATTTTTTCTTGCATGACTTTGGTTTGTTTGCTGTTGATTTCACCTACTAACAATATTTAATGGGAAGTTTATTGTTTCAACAAATTTTCAGCCCTCAATAATATATTGTTAACTCTAGACACTAGAGTTGTACAGCTGATCTCTGGAAATTGATGTTATATTATTAAACTTTGTACTATTGAACAACCTCTGAGTACTTCTGACCCCCTTCTCTGAGGTCAGATGAGACTGGAAACATTCAGGATGGTATGGCCATAGACTGCATCGCCTTGAAAGCTACTTCTATTTTCTACTTTTATATATTTTACTATTTAAATGCATCATACAAGAGGAATTTTACAGTATTTATTTTTCTATAGCTAACTTATTTCACCTCATGTAATCTCTTTCAGGTTCATCCATGCCACAAAGAAAATTTTCATTTTAAAGGCCGATATGATTGCATAAATAATTTCCATCAGTTTTTTTTAAAATAGTGGTTAATGTTTACAATTTTCACAGATATCATAATTCTATATGATATCTGTGATCTGAGCAAAGAAATCAAGGACAGCAATGTGTAATACAAGACACCTAGTTGAATACCTCTAATCTCTACATGTGTATTGTTTCTAATGTGTTATCAATTATTATACTCTCTTTAATTATTTTTAAAAGACAAGGAAAAAAATTAAAATTTCCTGGAAGCACGCAGTAATATTCAATTGCTTGTCCAATTTTGCATAACTATATCTGTTCATCTGAGCAACAGATTTGACATTAGAAGTAGATAATATAACAACCATTGTTAATTAGCTATTCTTATTTTGAAAATCTATAACATGTATATTTTTATGTTACCCTGTTCTGTCATTTTTCTATTTGTTTTTCTAGTTTTTACTCTTCAAAATTAAATTAAACTAAATTTAAAAAATAAAGGCTGAATTTTATCCCACTATAAGTATATTACATATTTTGGATAACTAGTCTTCCATGATTTGACATTAGGGTTGCTTCCAACTCTTAACTTTAAAGGACAGATTAGTACACGAGACTCTGAAACCCTGGTTTCAATTATTTTGCGTATATTTTCAGAACTGAAATTGATGGACCATATGGAAATTCTATTTATTGAAGAATTTCTATCCTATTATCTG